CTCTCCCTCAGCGGCCAGTCCACCTCAGCCCCCGCCGTGAGGCGAGCGAGCGGCACCGGCCGCCTTAACCGCTAACCACCCCCCACACACACACTCTGCCCGGTTCCTCCCCGGTACCGTCGGTAGCGGGACGGCGGGAAAGGTGCCTCACCTTAGCGCTCAGCTCCGCCGGCGCCTCCTCGACGCGTTTTTCCGACATCCTGGCCCTCGGGGGTTAGCGAAGGGGAGAGAGAGGGACGGAGGGAAGGCGGGCGAGCGGTCAGCAGCGGGAGCGCAAAGTCCCAGGCGACGCGGCGGCGGTGGTGGTGGCGGCGGCGGGCTCCCGCCCCGGGGGCCAAAGTACCAGGGTCTCCCGCGGTGGGGGGGGATAACGGCGGGGAAGGGGGATTTATACACCGCCCGGTGACGAGGGAAGGAGGGACCAGGGGAGGGAGGGGAGAGGGACGGGGAGGCGGAGGAGGAGGAGGAGGGAAGAGAGAGAGAGGGACGGGCCCCGCCGCGCCGCGGGGAGCGCGGCCGCTAGAACAATGTGCGCCCGGCCTTTACCACACGGGCCGGCGGCGACCGCAACCCCCGCCTCCTCGTCGAGGCGCCACAGCCGCCCTCCTCTCTCCCCCGCCGAGCCGCGGCACCGGGCACTGCCCGGGGAAGGCGAGGAAGGAAAGCGGAGCCCTCTGCCCGCCGCGCACGGTTCAGGGGAGGGCGAAGGCTGGGGGAAGCCACCCCGTGCAGCCCGGGCCGCCCCTGCGGAAGGAACGCGGAGCGGTGCCTTGTGTGTGGGGAGGGCAGCGCTGGCGACGGCGGGGCTCACGCGGCCTCCTTGCCTGGAATTTTCCACTCCAGCTGCCCGCCTTCCCTCTTCCCTTCCCTCCCTCCCGCTGGAAGCGCTCCCGGCGGCGGGGCTCCTCCTGCCCCGCCCCTCCCCTCTGCTGGGCCCCCGCGCGGGAACCCGCTGGGTGGGCGTAGGGCGGGGCGCGAGCCAGGCTGACTTTTCCCGCGCTCTGCCCTCGGCCGGGAAGGAGGGAAGGGGCGGAGCCCGGCTCGCTCGCGCGCGCCGGTGAAACCGCTTAGCGG